AGCCAGGTTTTAAGATTAAAGGAAAGCATTACTCTTAATTTATCCTTCCTTGTCCAACTTCTTTTTTTTTTTTTTTAAGATTTATTTATATATTCAGAGAGAACAAGAAAAAGGCAGAGACACAGGCAGAGGGAGAAGCAGGCTCCATGCAGGAAGCCCGGTGTGGGACTCGATCCCGAGTCTCCAGGATTCACATCCTGGGCTGCAGGCGGCACCAAACTGCGGCGGCACCAAACTGCTGCGCCACCGGGGCTGCCCCCTTGTCCGACTTCTGATATTAATATGCTATTTCTTTGTTGTCAAAGCCAGGATTCTTTTTTTTTTTTTTAAGATTTTATTTATTTATTCATGAGAGACACAGAGAGAAAGAGACACAGGCAGAGGGAGAAGCAGGCTCCATGCAGGGAGCCTGATGTGGGACCTGATCCCGGGTCTCCAGGATCATGCCCTGGGCTGAAGGCGGCGCTAAGCCACTGAGCCACTAGAGCTGCCCATGAGCCACCAGAGCTGCCCATGAGCCACCAGAGCTGCCCCAAAGCCAGGATTCTTTTGGTTGTAAGGTAGAAAAACCCAACTCCCAGTAGCATAAGCAAACAAAGGATACTAAGGTGTTTCACAGAAACTAAAGACAGGAAGGCCTTCGGAACAAATCAGGCACTCAAAGCCTCAGGACTCTTTGCAGTTCTTATCTAAGCCTTTCTAGCTGTGTGTGTTCCAGGCTTTTCTTTCCATCTGTAGATTTTTGTCTTCCTCAGTCCACAAGACAGCCAGAGAAAGACCAACTTAACTTTCTTGGTGTTCAGCTCAAATAAATTCTCAGGGATAGGATCTGTTGGCCCCACTTGGATAGGTTTATCCTTTGCCCAATCAGTTGTAGCTTAGGGTGAGGCCTAAGTACTAGTGAGGCAACTCCTGCTGGAGCCATGTGGGTGAGAGACAAAGGAGTATAAGCCCTAGAGTGTGGCCGTTGGGTGAATAGTGCCATGAAGTCCACTGTAGCTCTCAATTATTGAGGTGCACAGAGCAAAGACAGTATGGACTGCCCTTGTTCTCTTACCACCATCCTCATTGTTTGGTGAGGTGCAACAAGGAGAATCATAGGGGCCTTAGTTACAGGTTTTACATTTTCCTGGCTTATATCTTCAATATCATAGTTCATGTACTCACCCTAATCCATCACTGTTTATAGATTCAAGGGAATTACATCCTCTGGTCTTGGAACAGATATGAGGGGAGACACATACATGGTAGGTTCCCCCCTCCCACCCCATTTTATAGGAGATAGTCTGGCCAAAGTGGTTTACACTGACAATTTCAGACGGATTGTTTACAAGTTTTAAGCCCTAGAAAAGGCAGAACAGTATATTAGAGAAATGGTGATGATAGAGGTTAGTATAAGTGAAGCAGTATCACGGGGTATCACTGTTCCTATATAAAATGGGTAAAGAAAGGTTTTTTGTATTTATTAGGCTTGTAGGGTTTTTTGGTTTGGTTTGTTGTTTTAAGTAATCTTTGGTTGTTTTTAAGTAACCTCCACACCCAACATGGGGCTCGAATTCACAACCCCAAGATCAAGAGTCACAGTCTCTACCAACGGACCCAGCCAGGTGCCCCGGGATTTTTATCAGTTGAAAGAAACAAAAACTCAGCTCAAACCAGCCTACAAATAATAGAGAATTTGTTGGGTCCTGTAGCTGATGTTCAGAAGGTGATTGTGGCTTCAGACATGGCTGAATCCAGGACTTCAGATGATCTCATCTGAATGGTCTCTCCGCTCTGCTTTCTTCATTATTGGCTTCATCTTATAAGAAAGCTCTTCTCATTAATGGCAGAAATGATCTCTAGTCACTCTGGTTTGTACATCCGACCAGCTATGCAACCCCAGGGGAAAGAGCTACCCTTGAGAGCTCCAAAGAAGTCCCAGGCATCACTGTCTCTGCTCTGCAGAGGGTCACATGTCCATAAGGACCCAGGTTAGGATTCCTAAAAGAAAACTGGTGCCATTTGCACAATGGGATGTTAGGTGAAATAGGAGATGTCCTCTGTGCCCTCAGTGCTGGAAGCTCCTAATGAAATTAGCATTTGAACACCAAACGTTTTATTGATTTGTAAGGAACTGTGCTTGGTGCTATATTGGATGAAGAACCTAAGATTCTTCTGCTCTTAGGGAATTTTTATATTTATTTATTGTTTTTAAGTTAAAAAAAATTTTTTTAAGATTTTATTTATTTATTTGAGAGAGAATAAGCGAGAGAGAGCATGAGCCAGGGGAAGGGCAGAGGGAGAGAGAGAAGCAGGCTCCCCACTCAGCGGGGCTTGATCCCAGGAACCTGGGATCATGACCTGAGCTGAAGGCAGATGCTCTACTGACTGAGCCACCCAGGTGCCTAATTTTTTAGTTTTAATTAATTTGTTCATTTTAAGTAATCTCTATACCCAATGTGGGGCTCAAACTCAAGGCCCTATAAGATCAGGAGTCACATGCTCTATGGACTGAGCCTACCAGCCACCCCTGCTCTTAAGGAATTTTTAAGGGCATCCCGGGTGGCTCAGCGGTTTAGTGCCACCTTCAGCCCAGGGTGTGATCCTGGAGACCCAGGATCGAGTCCCACGGTGGGCTGCCTGCATGGAGCCTGCTTCTCCCTCTGCCTGTGTCTCTGCCTCTCTCTTTGTCTCTCTTGAATAAATAAATAAAATCTTTAAAAAGGGGATACCTGGGTGGCTCAGCGGTTTGGAGCCTGCCTTTGGCCCAGGGCGTGATCCTGGAGTCCCGGGATCGAGTTCCGCGTTGGGCTCCCGGCATGGAGCCTGCTTCTCCCTCCTCCTGTGTCTCTGCCTCTCTCTCTCTATGTCTATCATAAATAAATAAAATAAATCTTAAAAAAAAAATCTTTTTTAAAAAAGGAATTTTTAATTAAGTAGTAGACTTTTTTTTTTTTAAGATTTTATTTATTTATTCATGACAGACACAAACACACACACAGAGGCAGAGACACAGACAGAAGGAGAAGCAGGCTCCATACAGGAAGCCTGATGCGGGACTCGATCCCAGGACTCAGAGATCACGCCCTGGGCCCAAGGCCGACAGTCAACTGCTGAGCTACCCAGGCATCCCTCAAGTAGTAGAAATTAGACATATGTATAAATAGTGACTACTGTCATGTATTGAGGCCCTACTATGGGCCAGTAGGCATTTTGCTAAATGTGTGTTTTTTTTTTGTTTTAAGATTTATTTATTTATTTTAGAGAGCACAAGTGCTAGCAGGATGAGAGGCAAAGGGAGTGAGAAAAGGAGAGAAGCAGACTTCCTGCTGAGCATGGAGCCCAGTGCAGGGCTCGATCTCATGACCCTAGCACCATGACCCGAGCGAAAAATCAAGGGTTGTACACTCGACTGACTGAGCCACCCAGGTGCCCCTAAATGTTTTATATATATTATCTCTTTGTGGATAACTCTGTGAAAGTCACTTCTATTCTTATGCATACCATTTTATCTATTAAAAAAAAATGGTGTTGGGAAGTTTATGTAGCCTGCCCAAGGTCATATAGCTAGTGAATAATAGAACGGGGGATGAATCCAGTCAGTTTTGACTCCGTCCAGTGCTATACTTTAGCTTGCACTGACCTATCAAGGTCTTTTCTGCATCTCATTCTTTCCACCCTTTCAAGTCGGACAGCCTGATTCTAAATTCCTGAGAATTATCTGACTTAGCTCATCTTTTCTAGGACGTCACAGCTGATGGTTAGTCTGTGGTGTGGCTGCCTTTGTACTGGTGCCCATCCTTCATCCATCCAGTTGGCCCACCAGTAGGAAATCTGTAGGAGAATTACAGTCTCTGTTCAGCGACTTCTTCGGGTTTGACCCCGAGGAAGCCCAAAGAAGAGGCATGGCAGCCTCACTGCTCTCTGAGTCTTTGCTCTCTTGAACATCCTTTCCCTTTTTTAAAAGATTTTATTTATTTATTCATGAGAGACACACACAGAGAGAGGCAGAGATATAGGCAGAGGGAGAAGCAGGCTCCCCACAAGGAGCCCGATGTGGGACTCGATCCAGCATCCTGGGATCATGCCCTGGGCCAAAGGCAGATGCTCAACCGCTGAGCCAACCAGGTGTCCCCCTTTTTTAAAGATTTTATTTATTCATTCATGAGAGAGGCAAGACACAGGCAGAAGGAGAAGGAGGCTCCCTGCAGGGAGCCTGATGCGGGACTCGATCCCAGGACTCTGGGATCACAACCTAAGCCAAAGGTAGACTTTCAACAACTGAGCCACCCAGGTGCCACTGAACCTCCCTTCTTTATCCCCATCACTACCACTTAAGTTCAGACTGTCACCATCTCTCCTGCCTACACATTCTTCCTGTCTCTAATGTCACCCCTGTTGACAGAGTGAAGAGTACTTTTATACATCATTCCTTTGAAGTCTTTCAGTGGTTTCTCATAGCCTTACATAAGGCTATGATAAACTCCTTACATAAGACTTCTCGTGCCTGCCCCTTGTTTGCTTCTCTAGCCTTGTATCCAGACATTCCTTCCTTTGAATCCTTCACATCAGCCTTTTTCTGAACCACTCAAGAGTTCCCTGAATTCATTGTTTATCTTCTTACTTCTGGATTTTGAATGTGCTGGTTCATGTGCCTAAAGCCCTAATGCTAATACCCCACCATGCCCCCATCCCCAACACCTAGCTATTCTTGCTTGTCCTGTTGATGACACCTGATCCTGTAAAACTTCTCAAATCACCCTCTCTTTTCAGCCTGGGTTAGGTGTCCCACATCTTTTGCACTCATAATGCCAAGTGTAGGCATTTGTCATTTCATGTATTTTTAAAGATTTTATTTATTCATTTGACAGAGCACATGTAAGGGGAGCGGTGGGCAGAGGGAGAGGGAGAAGCAGACTCCCCAGCTGAGCAGGGAGCCCCATACAGGGCTTGATCCCAGGCCCCTGGGAATCATGATCTGAGCCAAAGGCAGATGCTTAACCGACTGAGCCACCGAGATACTTACGAATTCATATTTTATTTTATTTTTAAGAAATATTTATTTATTCATGAGAGAGACAGAGAGAAAGGCGGAGAAGCAGGCTCCATGCAGGGAGCCTGACGTGGGACTTGATCCTGGGACTCCAGGTTCATGCCCTGGGCCAATTGCACATGCCAAACCGCTGAGCCACCCAGGGATCCCCATTTCATATTTTAAATGTATGCTTATGTAATATCTTCCCCCATTAGAATTTTCTTTTCTTTTTTAAGATTTTTATTCATTCATGAGAGACACAGAGAGAGAGAGAGGCAGAGACACAGGCAGAGGGAGAAGCAGGCTCCATGCAGGGAGCCTGATGTGGAACTAGATCCTGGAACTCCGGGATCACCCCCTGAGCCAAAGGCAGACACTAAACCACTGAGCCACTCAGGTGTCTCTAGAATTTTCTTGAATCAGATTTTTCTTCCCAAATGACTGGCACATAGTATGCTCTCAGTAAGTAATTGTTGAGCAAATGAATGGATCTTGGCAGTAAGTTCAAGTTGGCACATACTTGTAGGTTTCTTCTAAGCTGGCTTCTTTTTCTTTTTGCTCCTTCTAGGACCTGGGTTTCAGTGATGAGACATGGGGTATGATGTAACCCGTTTCCAGGGGGATGTTGACGAAGACCTTATCTGTCCTATTTGCAGTGGAGTCTTGGAGGAGCCAGTCCAGGTGAGTCGGTCTGATGGCAGTTTTGGTGGGGGCAATAGATGACCGTGGATCTAGGAGAAAATATTCATAGGTAATGGGACAAACAGGGAAGTCACTGTGATTTGCCACCCACCCCCCACCCCCACCCCACGACAACACACATACATAGAATATAGGTTTGGTGCAGAGGATCAATGGTGGCTACAAAAGGAATAGGGCTTTCCAAAGTCTGTCTAGAGGTGGATACCACAGAAGTCTAGTGCCTCACATTTTCTTCTAGGGTTGCCCTGAGATTTTTTTCTGCTGTAAAATAGTCACCTTTTCTGTCTTCTGGCAGTAGCTCAGGAACTTCCTTTCCTCTGCAGGGGCTTTGACTAGCTTCCATCTACCTAGCTATGATTGAACTTCTGGACTTTCCTGATAGGTTCTGTATTTTGATGATGTAATGTTTCAGTTAGTCAGCTAGTCTGCCTGCAGCCCTTTTCAGCCTGCCTATTAACTAACAAACAGGAAGTGGGAACCAGTGTATATATTTTCTTCCTGGGATTTATTAGAAAAAACAGTTTTTGATGCAGCCTTGTACTCTGCATTTTGATATGAAAGCTGCCACCTTCAATAGGTCATTTCTCTGCAAGCCCTGTCAGACGAGAGTCAGTTGTATCTTCCTGGGGGCAAGTATGAGGAGAAACTCATGATTAACAGGCAAGTATAATGAGTGAGATAAATTCTTAACAGTAGTATTTATGGACATCATCCTGCATGGTTCTTACTGCCTGCCCTCTGTAAATACCTATTAATCCTCTGCCACTCCTGGCTAGCTAGACCTAATCACATTTTCTAAACTAGGACACTAGTCAGTGAGGTCTCATGGCCCTTCCCCCACTCACTGCTTATACAACTCCCAGGGGCTCCTCTTGATTCCGTAAGTTTGTTCTTACTCTAGTTTTCAGCCACCCAAAGGAACACAGATGCTTCAACTGATTGAAAATCAGACTGCATTCTAGTGGCGGCTAGTCCTGGACCTGTCCCCTGTCTAGGCCTTTGTAGCCTACTGCCATAAGAAGCAGATGGGCTGGGTGTAGAACCAAGCTATCCTGGTGGTGTCAAGAGGTTATGGGGTGTGTCAGTTCCTTCCCTTCCATGGCACTGTCATTTGAGGTGAGTCATGTGTGGAGATGTCCGTGTTGGCTTGTGACATTCTAAGTCAGGAGCCGCCCCCCCCCCACCTCCGCCTTCTGAGGAGCAGGTCAAGCAGATCTCAGGATGCCAGGTTACCAGACACATATCCAAGGGTAGAAGGCACCTGCTAGGAATGCTGATTTCTCTACATCATTTTTTTTTTTTTATTTTAAGTAATACCTACACCCAATGTGGGGCTCACACTCACAACCCTGAGAATCAAGAGTTGCACACTCTGACTGAGCCAGCCAGGCCCCCCTACAGCATATTTATTTAATTTTTGAATAGGTGATAAATTCATAGGGTTCAGAAATCAACCAGTATAAAAAGACATACAGTGAGAACTCTTACTCCATCCTTGTCCCAATCCATGTAATCCCCTCTCTCCCATAGTTAACTCTTTGTATTAGTTTGTCCAGTTTGCACGGAACATAGCACATTCTGTATATTTTTGCAGGGGTGGCAGGATTGGATAGGCTGGTCATGAGAAGAGGTAACAGTTGGGATGAGATCTGAATAAGGGGACATTCATGCTGAGATTTAGAGAAAGAGCATTTCAGGCAAAGAGGAGCGGCAAAAGCGAAGATCCTGAGGCAGGAGTGGGTTGGGTGTAAACAAAGAACAGAAAGGAGGCCCGACTAGCTTGAACACAGTGCTGGCAGCGAGGTGTGAGGTGAGGAGAGGTCAGAGGCACAGGGCCACATCCAGCAGAAGTTTATAGGTCCTGAGTAGGAGTTTGGATTTATTTTAAGTATAGTGGGAAGCCATTGTAAAGTTTTCAGCAGAGGAGTGATATGATCTAGTTTGCATTTTGAAGTGATCACTTTGGCTGATGAAGGTAAATGAATTATAAAGGGGCGGAGTAAAAGTAGGGAGGCCAGTTAGAAGACATATTTAGTAATGTAGATGAGAGATGATGGCTTGATCTGGGTTAGTGGCAGGACAGATGGGGAAAGTAGACAAGTTTATGGTTTCTTTCTTTATTTAGAGATAGGGTCTATAAAGATTTTGAAAAGACTCCAATTTCTCTTTGAAAAATAAAAAACCTACTGACAATTGGATTAGTGACATTGAGAATGACTTTTTTTTTTTTTAAGACTACTTATTTGAGAGAGAGAGAGAGAGAGCGCGAAAGCACATGTGCCCATACCAGCGGGGGTGGGAGGGTGGGGGGAGAGGGAGAAGGAGACTCCCCACTGAGCAGGGAGCCAGACAGAGCTCGATTCCAGGACCCCCAGATCATGACCAGAGCCAAAGGCAGACACTTAACTGAGCCCCCCAGGCACGCTGAGGATGACTTCTTCCCTTAGGAAGCCTTTCTGTGTTTCAGTCTTTGGTGTCTATGAGCATCTCAGAAGCAGAACCTGTCTTTTGTATTTTAAGCACCTAGAAGAGTGTTTGGGACATAATTAGCATGCCATTCATTCATCAACAACTACTGAGTGCCTACTGTGTTTGTCCTATGCCAGAAGCCAGATAGTGTCTCCATAGATGCTAGGGAATCCTCTCAGTTTGAGGGATTAACTTCAGAGGTTATCTGAGTTATCAAGGAAGTAAGCTGAAATATGATCTTTATGAAACTGAAAAGAATGTGATTCTCTAAGAAAATGGCCCTGTTTGGGAGGATAGGCCTTGCCAGTGGGATTCAGGGCAATGCCTCGTGTCAACCCTCATAAAATAGGAACTTGGGCCCATACAGAGAGGACTCAACCTCTCACCAGGAGTTCCAGGCTTTTGTTTTGTTTGGCTTTGCTTTCTTACTTGCATTTTTGCCAGTAAATATCTTCCCTGTGTCCTCTGTACTCATCCTTTAAGACCCGTATCAAATTCTGTCCTCTCCCTAAATACCTGCCCTGATTGACCTAGCCTAGAAAGATCTCATCCTCCTCTGGACTTCTTTGCCAGTTATCGTGTATGCAATCCAATTGGCAATTAATAATCAACCACCTTATGTCATCTCTCCTATTGTCCTAGAATATTATTTGTGCCCCTTATTATGTTTTTACTTGTCTTATGTCACAATCCATTTGGAATCTGGAGCACAGGAAACCTTTCTGAAGCCTTCTCTGCACAGTGTCTTGCCCATAGTGCACCTCACTTTGCTGTGACCCCAGAGACCTCTGATCCTGGAAGCTGCTCAGAGGCTTGAGTGGCTTTGTGAAGTTATCATATTCAGGCTCTTAGCTCCTGCTAATTCTCTTGTGCCCCTTTTGCCCTGCTCTTCCTTCTAGGCACCTCATTGTGAGCATGCTTTCTGCAATGCCTGCATCACCCAGTGGTTCTCGCAGCAGCAGACGTGTCCAGTGGACCGGAGCGTTGTGACGGTCGCCCACTTGCGCCCAGTACCTCGGATCATGCGGAACATGTTGTCAAAGCTGCAGATTGCCTGCGACAACGCTGTGTTTGGCTGTAGTGCTGTTGTCCGGCTTGACAACCTCATGTCTCACCTCAGCGACTGTGAGCACAACCCCAAACGGCCTGTGACCTGTGAGCAGGGCTGCGGGTGAGATTACTTCCCTTCCTCTGCCCTGCACAGATGAGGGCCTTCTGGTTGATGACCACCCTCCCCGCACCCACACTCCCTGTCCCCAGTCCCCCATCTCCAGAGCCCCCGCTCACCAGCTCAGGAGCTCTCCAAGCGTGAATGTATGCAACGAGCGTCCTTGGCCTCCCTGGCTCCCCGCCCTGAGATCTGACTTCGGTGATGCTTTTTCAACTAGGATCTTTTTGCTCTTGTTTGAATGAAAGAGAGGAGGAAGCAGGTCCCAATCTGCGTGCTAGAACTAAGGGCTGACTCCCTCTGTTCTTCCCCGTCAGCCCAGTACTCCTTTTTCTTTGTCACTATGACTGCTCTAATTTTGAGGCTTCTCATAGTTCCTTGCGCCTTGTTATTTTCTTTCTTTGGAGTGTGAAATATTTGATTAAATGCTGCTGTCTAGGGATCCCTGGGTGGCGCAGCGGTTTGGCGCCTGCCTTTGGCCCAGGGCGCGATCCTGGAGACCCGGGATCGAATCCCACGTCAGGCTCCCGGTGCATGGAGCCTGCTTCTCCCTCTGCCTGTGTCTCTGCCTCTCTCTCTCTCTCTGTGTGACTATCATAAATAAATAATTAAAAAAAAATTAAAAAAAAAATGCTGCTGTCTAGCTAGGGCTGTGAATCTAGGGCTGCTCAGAAGGAATGGGTACACAGGCAGAATCTGTAGGAAGAAAGGAATGCTGTGTGGCAGATAAAACACTCTTAGAAAGTGCAAGAGGCCCAGAGAAGGTAGAGAGCAAAGGAGCATGGGGGACGGGGGCGCGGGCGGGGCTGCTGGGGAGAAGGAAGTGAAGGGAATAAATAAGAGGGAGGCCTGAATGTTAGACACCTGGGCTAGGAGAAAAGCCTATCGGCATCTCCTGCCTTTGCCCACATGACCCATTGAATGCCCCTATTCTGCTTTCCTCCCCACTCCGGGTGGCAGCCTGGAAATGCCCAAAGATGAGCTGCCAAACCACAACTGCATTAAGCACCTGCGCTCCGTGGTACAGCAGCAGCAGACACGCATCGCGGAGCTGGAGAAGACCTCAGCTGAGCACAAGCACCAGCTGGCGGAGCAGGTAGGGCCCAGAGATCATTGAGAGAACCTGCCTCTCATGTGCAGGTAACTGTGGACAACTGTGTGTGTGTGTGTGTGTGTGTGTGTGTGTGTGTGTGTGTACATGCCACGTGTGTGTGCAGATGACGGGGTGAGAAGCACCCGTGTGAGCAGGCAGGTCTGTGCCTGTGCTCGTGTGTCTGGGTGAACAGATGCTCCGCCTGTGGCTTGGTTGGGAATCGGATGGGAGCTCTTCTCCTTCTCTTTCATCCCGTCAATGTTACTCATTCACCTAACATTTATTAAATGCCTCCTCTAAGAAGGTCCCCGCCGAGCACTCGGGTTACACTAGGAATGAGACAGTCCCATCCCTGTCTTTGTAAAGCTTACAGGTCTGGTTGTTCCTCGCATCTCTCAGCTGTCCTCATTCTAAGACACACTTCCGTCTTCCATTTGTTGTCTACCCTAACCGTCCTCTCTGATTCTCCTTCCCACCCACAGAAGCGAGATATCCAGCTGTTAAAGGCATACATGCGTGCAATCCGCAGTGTCAACCCCAACCTTCAGAACCTGGAGGAGACCATTGAATACAATGAGATCCTAGAGTGAGTGTCACTCAGGACATGGAGTCACTTGCTCCACGTCCTGGCACTGAGCCCTGAAAGGAGGAAGAGCCGGGGAGTGGCAGAAGGAGGGTAGTAAGAGGGCTGGGCTTGGGTCACGGCATTTCAGATAATTGGGATGAAGGACAGGAAGAGAACTTTCAGCACCACTATAGGATCTTAAATTCTTTTGGGTGGATTGAAGGGAAAGCTTACCCAAGGATTCAATTCATCTGGACTTAAGTGAGTACGCACATGTACAAAGCCATGTTAAAGGCTGTGGGGGAAAAAAAAAAGGCTGTGGAGTGCTAGGAGGGCCAAGAAGAAGGAAATACTGTCCTTATTGTCAGGTAACTTACAACCCAGAGGAGTGAGTGAGTGCAAATCCAGGAGAGTGATCTAAAATGCAGCATAAACAAGCAAAGTCTAAAATCTATTTCAGTGCTGGGGTTGTGTATGATTCACAGACTAAATTCCTAGTGTGAATCAGTATATATAATGCAAATGGTGCTGTGTGGGACACAGTATACAGGAATAATTGCTTCATCCGATAAACATTTGTTGAGCACTTAGTATGTGCCAGGCACATATGTACTATGTATTGGGGTTTCTAAGAAAGATGACAGGAACTCTTCACTTGTAGAGTTTAATCTGGTGAGTGACATGTTGGGACTCCCAGGGGACCAGCTAGGGAAAGATGTGGAGTTTCTGAACCAGTGATGGAAAAAGGAAAATGGAAGGTCAGGGTTGAGCTGAGCGCAGAGCAGGAGAAAAAGCCAATGCAGAGAAGGGGGATGAGCTGGAATGACCACCTCTAATCCCCTCCACACAGGTGGGTGAACTCCCTGCAGCCAGCCAGAGTGACCCGCTGGGGAGGGATGATCTCAACCCCAGATGCTGTACTCCAGGCTGTAATCAAGCGCTCCCTGGTGGAGAGTGGCTGTCCTGCCTCTATTGTCAACGAGCTGATTGAAAATGCCCACGAGCGTAGCTGGCCCCAGGGTCTGGCCACCCTAGAGACCAGACAGATGAACCGGCGCTACTATGAGAACTACGTGGCCAAGCGTATCCCTGGCAAGCAGGCTGTTGTCGTGATGGCCTGTGAGAACCAGCACATGGGTGATGACATGGTGCAGGAACCAGGGCTTGTCATGATATTTGCGCACGGCGTGGAAGAGATATAGGAGATCTCGACGGGCTAGCAGGAAGAGATGGCAATCAGAAAACCCATCACTCCAGCAGCTGGTCCCTGAGTCCTCCCTACTATTCATAGTACGGTGGCTTACACATGGGCCACACGTTTCCCTATTCTTCTGGCACTGAAGGGCCCAGGGCACTTTGCTCAACCTTTCAGGTGGAAACCCAGATTCCTTCCTTTTGCCTGATTTCTTCCCCTAAGATGTCTGTAAATTTTCAGTCAGTTTGGGAAAGTCCCCACCTCTATATCTGTTTTCCTGCCTAGGGTCCCTGGTTCTAGATATTTTTAGAAAGCACAAAGAATTCATTTTCTCTAGAGGATCAGGGTGGAGTGAGGAATATCTAATCGTTCCCCCTCCTCCAAAACCAGGGAATCGGAGCAGGCAGGCCGGTTGACACTAAACAGCATGAGAGGGCAGCTCTGGGGAGCAGACATCCTGAAAAAATGGTAGGGGTGGAATCAAAAACCCTAGAAATTAGCAATGAGGCCAGTAACTGGCCCCCTTAGGGGAAGACTGGATCTCTGTGCCAAGCAATATCCTGTCCGGCCCACCTTACAGGTGTAGGCTCCTGCTGGTTCTGCAGGTGTGCAGGTTGGGATGCTGAAAATTTCTAGATGAGCTCTTCTTTCCTACATTTTCTCATAACTAGGGAATGACAGGGTTGGGGGTAGGGGATTAGTCTGTTGGGGTGGATGTGCTCAGCAAGAAGCAGCTCTCTGGCTTTTGCTGAAATCAGGTAGGCACTGCCTCTGGCATGGGCTGTAATAGTTCATAGACCCTCTCCAGCCCTGTGATTGTAACTAGTTATTTTGATAATTTCCTTTGGCCATTGTTGTTTGTATTTCCTTCCTTTTCTTCCTTCCCACCTTTTTTTTTTTTTTTTTTTTTTTTTTTAAGAATGGCCTGATTATAGCTACCCCACTTTTCCAGCCCGGCCACATTGTTGGCAATCTAATTTATTTACTTTTTTTTTTAAGAAAGGAAAAAGAAAAAAAAATTAACAAAGCTGAAAACTTTCTTTTTGATGTTCCTATTGTGGGGATTCTGGATAGGGTGGGACAGGGATGGGATCTGTTTTATATTTTTCCTTTTCAGCACAACCTTTGGCTTTAATATAGGAAGGGCCAAGGGAGTCCTCGGCTGAACCTTTGTCTGCCCCAACCCTCCATAAGCCCGTCTGAGATGAGGCGCTTCCTCTCTTCAGTGATGGCTGCGATAGTCCATCAATGCCTGTGCCCTCTGGAGAACTTTGCTCCCACCCCTTCCATGAGTCTCCTTGTCAAACTTTGTATTGATAGAGTATTAATTTTGAAGACTCTTCCATCCCCCAACCCTCAGTTTCCTTGGAGATAAATAGTTGGATTCTAAGCTTCACGAGCCACGATGGGAGAGATGCGTCTCTGAGTACAGGCAGTGCTCTGGTCTCACTCATGCCCTCTAGGGACTTCAGCGCCATTTGAGGCTACCCGGGCATTCCTTAGTCTCTAGGGTGGCTGATAGAGTGAGAGAAAACAGGGGAGGGATGGAGAGGAGGTGATTGATTGTTTTAATAGGCAGGTCGGAGTGGGGTTGACGAGATATGGCCATATAACAGCTTCTTCTCTCTTTTGGAGTTTTATTCCAGGTTAGCTTGCTGTAGGTCTGGGGAGATGGGTCATGGCTCCACTGGGAATGGGGTGGAGGAGTACAGCTTGAAGGGAGTAGGGAACAGTCCTGCATTCAGCTCCAGGACATTGTGCTCAGGAATTTGAAAACGCTGCTATACTTAGTCTGGTTACTACATCTCTTCCACTCCCCTCTGCCCCCGCCTGCCTTACCAAGGCCCATACCCTCCTGTCATCACCCTCAGATGGAGCCAGGAAGCTCATTTAAGGCTTCCCTCCCCGTCGCACTAGCGTCTCTGTGGGTTGCTGGTGGTGTTATATGTGCTGTTCCACAGTGTTGACTGCACTAATAATAAACCTTTTACTCAACTCTCAATTCTTAATCCAACATCACTCCCTTTCTTGTGAAGCTTTCTCCTCTGCTTTGGCTTTTCTCTCACCTTGATTCCCCTTATTTCTTGCTTTATAACCTGCCCTTGTCTTAGAACTAACTGCTGTTCTAAGAGGATGTCTGTCTGGGAGCGTACCCTCCACGTTTTTGCCCTTTATGACCTCCTCCTACCTTCCCTCCTGTCTCCTGTTCTGTAGCAGCCAACACATTTTCTCCAGTGATCTCAACTGTATTCTTTCCACAGTTTGCCTTTGCCCCAAATTCCATGTCATCCCTAAGTGCTCCTGGAGTTTTAGGACAGTTTCGACAGAGGATATGCCTGCACCCTTCTCCCTTGTCCCACAAGCACCTTTTGCTTTGGAATCCAAGATTCCATCGCCAAACATGAGGAAGGGAGCCTGAGGTGACTGTACTGCTGTGGTTGTCAAATCTCAACAAAGCCTTACATAAGCATTTGCTATCACCTCCTCCCAGTCATGAAAAAAAGGAAATCTTTTCCCCTAGCAGTGTATTTCAAATTTGTTGAGCATTTATGATGTATTTAATGTAAATCCTTTAGCACTCTGGATACTTTACTGGGGCTAAAAAGCAAAAGAGCACAAGGACATCCCTGTATCCACTGAGTCCATTATACTTGCATGTACACAAGGTCTGATTATAAAATAGTGGCGAATACATCACTAAGAGGCAACATGTATAGTATCTATTATCTAGAGATACCAGGAGTGTTCTTTTTTTCCCTGAAGCTCTTTCAAAATTACTTTCAGAACCTGCTGCTGATTCTTTAATGGTGCCAAATCATTCTTTTGGGGTAGATTTGGTTTTGGGAAACAACATTCATTGAAAATTCTGTAAGGAACTCAAGTGGAGATGGGTGTCTTATAGCACAGTGGCACCTAAGATGTAATAAATGTGGTAAGTAGATCTACAAGCAATGTGAGCAGAGGGAAGATGAAGGCACGGAATTTTTTTTTTTTTAAGATTTTTATTTATTTGACAGAAAAAGCAGGGGTAGCAGCAGGCAGAGGGAGAAGGAGAAGTAGGCTTGCTGTTGAGCAAGGAGTCTGCTGCAGGGCGTGATCCAAGGACCCTGGCCAGGATCATGACCTGAGTTGAAGGCAGACACTTAACCGACTGAGTCACCCAGGCGCCCCTCTGATGGGTACCAGTAAAGACTCGTTTAGGAGAAGTATTTATTCTAGATCAGAGGTTGGCAAACTAGAGCTTGCATCCTGATGCCTGCTTTTGTAAAAATGTTTCATTGGAACACAGCCATGCCCATTTGCTTATGCATTGTCTGTGGCTGCTTTTAGATTACAACAGCAGAGCTCAGTAGTTCCACAGAACTATGACCCACAAGGCCTAAAATATTTGCTATTTGGCTCTGTAGAAAGTTTGACAACCCATTTTAGGTCAGGAGAAAGGGTGGGGAAGTATGAAGATTGGTTTTGATTTTTTAGTTTGAAGAACCAGAACATTTTTCTACATGGTTAACATTAAATGCTTAAAATTAGCCTATATTCACATTTCTCCAGTTGTCTCAAGAAAAGCTAATTTTTGTCCAGTCTTGGATCCAATCCAGGAAGCATGCATTATACCAGGTTATGTTAACTATCTTTTATACTCTTTTTAAAAAGAATTTATTTATTAATATAAATTCAGTGGGGGGGTGTGGAGAATCCCGAGGAGACTCCCATGCTAAGCATGGAGCCTGATGTGGGGCTCCATCTAGGACCTTGAGAACACAGCCTGAGCTGAAATCCCATAGTCTGATCCTTCACCAACTGAGCCAGCCAGGCACCCCATTTATACTCTTAATCTAAATTCCGGGAACAACTGTTTTTGTGACAGTCTTTTGTTGAAGAGATTGAGCCAGTTGTCCTGAGAATGGTCTTTTGGATTTGATTGATTGCTTCTTCACAGTGCTCCTTAACTTCCTCTACCCCTATTTTTACTAAACAGAATTAGATCTAGAGTTTGAGAGATTCAAGTTGAGCAGTTCTGAAGATAGAAGACATCACAGGAGGGACGCCTGGGTAAGCTCAGTGGTTGAGCGTCTCCTTTGGCTCAAGCCGTGACCCTGGGGTCCTGGGATCAAGTCCCACATCAAGCTCCCTGCGTGGAGCCTGCTTCTCCCTGTGCCTGTGTCTCTGCCTCTCTCTGTGTCTCTCATATGAATAAATGAATAAAATCTTTAAAAAAAAAAAAAAAGACTTCACAGGAGAGATGTTCTGAATGTTGTATAACATCAGGAGATAGGCCCAGTTGTCCAACCATTAGCCTGATTTCTTCATTTACACTTGGATTGTTGAGAGTTGTTTTTGTTTTTTGTTTTTTTTTCTTTTAAAGCTGGCTAGCTTCCCTGAGAAGGGGGCAGCTGGCAGTATAGGTTGCTGCCATACAAGAACAGGGGCCCCATGTTGTCGAATCTTATTTTTCAAGAACCATTGGCCATTGTAGTATTTAGTGTTTATGCTAAATATCACAAATTTTAAATGTTGGCTCAATTTAAAAAAAGTAATTGTGGCCTCCAAAAAAATCTAGGGTCCATAGTTTGCAACTCTGCTTTATTTGTTTGTTTGTTTGCTTGTTTATTTATGAGAGACACACAGGTAGAGGCAGAGACACAGGCAGAAGGAAAGGTAGGCTCCCCGCAAGAAGGCCGATGCAGGACTTGATCCCCGAACCCCTGAGCTGAAGGCAGACAGACGCTCAACCGCTGAGCCACCCAGGCATCCTGCAACCTCTGCTTTAGATCAGTTGATCATGCTATGGTTGAGATCATAGCATGAATACAAACAAATGGAAGTGAAGGATATGTTGAAAAAGAAGAAACTATTGGCATCTGGAGCAAAGAGTATGTTGAAGGAAATAATGGAAGATAAGACTAGGAAATTATTATTTTGGGGCCAATTTTTGGGAGGCTTTGAATACATGGCAAGGAATTTGGGCTTTAATTTCACAGGTAAGTTTTTGACAAGAGGAGTAACTTCCAGCTCATGATTCTGGTGGCAATGGGAAGACAGTGAAAAATTGAAAATTTGGTGACTATTAAATAAGCTTTGCAGTAATTCATGCAGGAGGTTTAAAGCTTTGAAAGAACGGGAAAGAGGACGAGAGACCTTAGGGAAGAAAACTGACAGGCCTTATTACTGACTAGATTCATTCAGCCAACATTTATAGTACACGTGTCATGTGTCACATGTGGCGTTAGGCATTTGAGATACTCAAATAATTGAGGAACGAGTCCTTAAGGGAATTTGCAGTTTAGGTGACAAATGCTGGAACACAGAATGAGAAATACAAAATAATTCATTGCTAATAAGGATTAAGTATAGTGGGGCAATGAGGAGGAAAGGGGTCACCTACTACTAATGATGAGATGTTTCTCTGGAGAATCACTGAACTGAGTTCTGAACAGGATCAGATACTGGCAGTGAGGAAAGGAAGTTGAGCATTTATTGTGAGTCCAGCACAATTGTAAGTATCAAATATTTCAATTTACCAACAGTTTTATTAAAACGCACCTTTGAAATTTTTTTAAAAAGGCACTATTGCCATCTCCATTTTCTGTGTGGGGAAATAAAATTCACATGGGTAATAATCAGAACTGGGATTTGATTCCAGAATAATTTCAGAGCCTGAGTTCTCCCAGGCGTCCCGTAACCACTGCACATAACAAGGGGCACATAACCAAAGATGAATCACAGATAAAGACTTTGATTTTTTGCTGGTAATGAAAGGTTAGGTCATTCTCAACCTGAAAAGGGAGGAGGAGAGGATGAGCAAGTTTCAGGGTGAAGTAATGAGCTCGTGGGGGACTTCAGGGTGAAAATGCTTCCACCCAAAGGTATTTAGCCAGTAAATGAAAATGTGAGTCTGGAGCTTCAGAGCAAGAAGTTAGGGTTAAAAATATGGCTGTGGGAGTTATCTGCCCAGAAGTGATCAAGAAATTCTAGGAATGAATACAAACACTAATAAAAGAGGACAGGAGAAAGGCTAAGAATGGGACCTTGGGGAATTCCAGAAGTAATCTGGAAAAGAGATGCATGATACAGTTGGCGAATGCCTCAGCTTTTTAAAAAATAATTCGGAAGGAATTTTTTTTAGTATGATAATAGGATTGTGTGTGTGTGTGTGTTTTGAGTACAGTTGACAAGTAATGAATCATTAAACTAGCTGTGAAGGAGTTCCAGAAATGTTTTGTGCAATGACCACATTCCTGAGATAAGTGTAGGTTGAGATCATTTCAGTTGAAGTCCTCTAATGATTTGCTTTGCTGGATAAACTACAGAGATCCAGGCCTCTTAACATTTGGAACAAGTCAGCAACTTGGGACCGTAAGTTCCTGTGTATCAGATGTCCCCACGTTAGCTTTTTAATCACATAAGGGCAATTTTGGTTCAGATCTAAGGATTTGTCACTGAAAAGATTAGTATGGAGTGGCATTAGCTCCTTAGTTATAAGGTGAAAGAGCTGCAGGAGAGAAGGAGTTAGGCTGTCACACGAAGATGCTCAGCCTGAATAGATTGGGGGTATCTTGCTGGAAAGAAGGATTTTTAAAAATGGGTGATTTAGGCAGGGTGTATTGAACCGAAGAGCAAGGGTGTGATCAGATGAGGCGCTGTAGTCCCTGGGCAGGGGAAGATGATGACAGCAGTGTTGTGGAGCTCTGAGAGTGGTGAAACTGGGGCACCTGGAAGGCCAATGTAGCAAAATAGATGCTGTGGTAGAAGAATCAATGATTGATGGATGTCAGGCGGGGGAAAAAGGAAGATGCCAGAATCTTCAGGTTGGAAAGTAGATGGAATTGTGAGAATAGTATTAACAGAAATGGGAAAAGTCAAGAATGTCATTTCAGAAAAGAAGTTTTGTTTGCATTTTAGGTGACATAGCTAGCTGGAGGTATGGGTTCAAAGTCTGGCTTGGAATTTTTGTCTTGGGAGGAGGGAAAAAGAATGAAGCTTTTGGCAGAATTCCACAGGAGGAGGAAGACAACAAATGAGACGGAGAAACAATGTTCTAAGAGAAATAGGAGAGTACAAGATCTCAGAAGTCCAATAAGAAATCAGTGGTTCCAAACACAGCAAAGGTTTTTGCAACAGGTTATTAAGATAGTGTGAAGCTGGAGGCAGAGTATACATTCTATTTCAAAAAATAGAAGGAAGTAGGAGCACCTGACTAGCTCAGTGGAGCATGGGACTTTTGATCTTGGGGTTGTAAATTTGAGTCCCAAATTGAGTGTAGAGATTACTTGAAATCTAAAGAAAAGAAAAATGGAAGTAGAAAACACGATCATCTGAATTCTCAAGTGAGGGTAGGTTCTGATTTAATGGATTGATCCAGTAGGATACAATTTGAATTTGTTATGCAAGTATTTTTTTTAAAGATTTTATTTATTCATGAGAGACAGAGAGGGAGAGGCAGGCTCCATGCAGGGAGCCCGACGTGGGACTCCATCCAGGGTCTCCGGGATCACGCCCTGGGCTGAAGCCGGCGCTAAACCGCTGGACCACCAGGGCTGCCCTTATGCAAGGATGTTAATGGAAGTTTCCTTAGGAGGTTGAAATGAGTGGGATTACAAGCCTACGTGGAGAAGGCAGCTTTAAGGCAGATGAGCAAAGTCAAATCCTGAGCCAGAAACGAAAGGATGCGTAGGGGCACCTGATCAGGGAAGGAAGGGGACAAGGTGAAGAGGAAAGGGGTAGGAACTGGGGAGTTCAGGTGGGCTGTGGGGATGGCAGGAATTTGAAACTATCTACGGCAGTTACAAGGGAAGCGTCTGAGTGAAAGGCAGGACCTCCAAGGACCAAACCACCTCTGCCAGGTTCCCGTCCAGGTCCTCCATTTTGTAAGCCCCGGTGCCTCCTCACCTTCACAACACGGTTGCTGGTTGCCCTCTGCTGGTCAATGTTGGTCTTGCCTCTCCAGACATTTAAATCCGAGCATGCGCAAAATGGCACTTGGTAGGAAACAGTACGGAGCCTCCTGGAATCTTCGTTCAGTACGCCTTTGATCGTATTTGCGAATAAAGGCCTAGCAAAGGGAATACGAGCAAAAACAAAATACACAGTCCTGACTCTCAGGAAGCATACAGTCCAGTCTGAGTGAAGGCTTAAAAATGTATATATAACTGCTCTTTAAAAAAACACATTTACTCAACAAAGTTTTGTTTTTGTTTTGTTTTTTTTAATTGAGCGTCTTATGTGTGCCAAGAGTTGATATTCCACTGGGGAAGACAGAGTTCACAACAGATGATTATGATATGGTGGGTGACAAGTGATCAGAGAAGACTTCCTAGGAAAACAGACATTGATGTGTGGATTGGAGGCTGAGTAGAGGGTGAGGATGAGAAAGATTGTTTCAGGCAGAGAACAGCATGAACACAGACAAATCCTATACCAGGAACTAAAAGAATGCCAGTGGATGGAAAGTAGTGAGTAGGAAAGAATGGCGCGTGGAAAGGGACCAGGTCATGAAACAAAGCAGCCATGGGAAGGTTCAAGGTCTCGGGCTACAACTGGATGCCCTAGTGCAGTTTTACATACATTAACTCATGTGGTCTCACTACTTTCCTAATGACTCCAGCAGGTGATCAGTCTAGCCTGCACTCACCCTGAGAAAAGTGAACAGATTTAAGACCCATTTAAGAAGCAGAATACGGATGCCTGGGTGGCTCAGTTAAGCGTCTGCTTTCAGCTGAGGTCATGATTTCCGGGACTTGGGATGGAGCCCCCTGTGTTGAGCTCTCTGCTCCATGGGGAGTCTGCTTCTCCCTTTCCCTCTCCCTCTGTGATCTCCCTCACTCTTGCTCTCCAATAAATAAAGTCTTAAAATACTTTTTAAATTAGTTCTTGCAGGGATCCCTGGGTGGCGCAGCGGTTTAGTGCCTGCCTTTGGCCCAGGGCGCGATCCTGGAGACCCGGGATCGAATCCCACGTCGGGCTCCCGGTGCATGGAGCCTGCTTCTCCCTCTGCCTGTGTCTTTGCCTCTCTCTCTCTCTGTCTCTCTGTGTGACTATCATAAATAAATAAAAATTAAAAAATAAATAAATAAATTAGTTCTTGCAGGGCAGCCCCGGTGGCGCAGCGGTTTAGCGCCGCCTGCAGCCCAGGGCGTGATCCTGGGGTCCTGGGATCGAGACCCACGTCGGGCTCTCAGCATGGAGCCTGCTTCTCCCTCTGCCTGTGTCTCTATGAATAAATAAATAAA